CATGAATGAGTCTGACGACACCCGCAGCTCTATTCATCCCTCGTCATTTCTTTCTGACCTCATCTCGAGAACGAGGAAGAAGAATCACGGTGTCTCTGTGCTGACACATGAGAAATGCAGAACTGTTGTTGTTTGGCTCTAGAGAGCAACATACAAGGAAGAGAAGGGGAGATACAGATGAAAGACGTTTGATAAGAAGGAAAACAGACCACCTGTCAACCACCCAGCACAGGGCGTTGTTTAAAGGATAACTGTATGGACCATTGTTCAATACAAAGTATTGAAAGAAAAAATTGAGTGTATAGGCTATCATTGCCACTGAGAATTTCATACCCGCTCGGCATTCATTGAGCTTAATTGTGACTTGCTGTGCTTCATGGTTTGGAATTGATTTTTATGCCAAACAAAACGTTTATCTAAAATATTTGATACCTGTAAGGAAAGTGCAGTAAATACAACAATGGGACATTGTGTGTTATAATGAATGAAAGCTCTTCATATACTACATATATTCGATCGTATCTAAAATTCCCCTTTCTGAATGAATAAAGATGGTCTTTATGTGCCTCCTGAGTGAAATAAATCTGGTACTGGTTGTTGCGGCGTCACTCTCTCTCATACTCATACCATGTTTGATTGTATAAATAATTGTATGCTTTATACATCCATCAACATAGTTTAGGTCAATCATGGAGGTGGGCTGCTCCAACCCTGGTAAAAAGAGAAACAGTATCCAAGCAGTCAGGGGGGAAAACTCGAGAAAAAGGGTTCCCCTCACAGGAATTGAACTCACGTCCTTTGCAAGTAATGGTAAAAAGCCTAACCATTATAAAACTCCTACCCAATGCAGTAGGGGAATGACAAGGACAGTCACACATGACAGGATGGTTAAGCTTAGTTTTAGTAGAGATTTTACGGCGCTCGCAACGGCATTAGGTCATATGAGTGCCAGAAGATTAGAGGTCACACAAGAAAACAACAATATAAAAAAAGAAGAAGGGGAGATAAGGACAATACATGTTTGATAGGAAAGAAGAAGCCAACCACCCATGATGGTTAAGCTCTTGTAAGCAACAAACAAATTAATGATAGTAATAAAAGCTTCGCACCAGCAGGACACTACTGGTAGAGCCTGCTTCTTTTCTTTTTCTCTGTTGATTCTGTCTGTCTGTCTTGCTTTTAGTACAGAATGACAGTACAGTGGAACTCGGGTTTAACGAGCTCGGATTCAACGAGAACTCGGATTCAACGAGATTAGATAGATTCCCTGTTTTTTTTTCTTTTTTAAAATCAATTAAAAATAACCCAGGTTCAACGAGTACTTAAATCAGTGAGCTCGGATTTAACGAGGGTGAACAGTCCCTGCAGACGTGGTTTCGCTCATTTTTCTCCCAGAACGAACTTAATCTTTTCCCGGAACCCATCCATTGCTCCTGCACCGTGAACCATTATTCACTTAGCCGATTGCATGCGACCAATCAACGGGCTTTTTTCACATACCAACACATGCGTTGTTGGCACGCGCACGTGTCTACTCTGGCGTGTGTCGGGGTCAGATGGGAGGTCTGCATACGTGTGGCTGTGTGTGTGTGTCGGGGAGGGGGGGGGGGGCACTAGCGGTCCGGGCGTGGAACGTCGCAGATACAAACGCCTCAGTCTTTTTTTTCCCTCGGCAACTGATCATTATCACAATAAGTATAAGCTAGTCTTGACGTAGACCTACGTAATGAATTGTGCGCTAGTCTATGGAATCAAAAGTTGCCGTATGCTAGGCTCTACACAGCAACTCAACTTTTGGTAAACAATCGAGATGACACAGGCGTGTGTATGTGAACGAATCGGTCTTTCTTTTTTTTTTTTACACAGCTCATAATATGCAGGCATTTCAGGCACTACTTGCGACTTCTCTTTATACATTACTTTCTTAGTGTCCGTAATTATCTACACAAAACCTCATGTTTGCTATACCGAACACTCGGATTCAGCGAGATTTTAGGTCAGGCCCGGCGACCTCGTTGAATCCGAGTTCCACAGTATTGTGTTGATGTGCTTCTCCCCACTCAAACAATTGAATTTGAACAAACAAACGAAAGACCATGCACCTACAAATGAAGTACATTACCATAAACTTAGAACCAACACATTGTCTTTGTTTCAAGCACGCTTTATTACAACAATTCTCTTTCCCTTTCTTTTTCTTTCCAATAAAGTGTGTATAATAGAGTCAAAATCCTAGTTCACTTAAAACAAGGTTTAAGTAGAAATGTTACCTTATCCTGTATTTTTTTTTCTTTTGGTATTCTTCACAAAGCAAGTACATATGCATATGTACTTCTGAACTAGAGTTTTACATTAGATTGAGCAAAACAAAACCTAAACCAGCAGAGTCTGGGTGTAAGCCAGATGACAGACAACCCACTGCTCTGATAGTGTGCATTCTATTCCTCTCTACTTTGAACACTGTCTGTCTCCATGGCTCTTCTTAATTATTGAATCGTACAAAAGCTGCCGTTGGGGAAATGAGATCATGTTGATTCTATCAAAGAGTTTGAGCGAGACACTCCACTGAAGTAACAAAAAAGCAATATAAGAGTTAAACATCATGGAAAGACTGGCCATTAAATAAAATAACAGTTTGTTTTTGGTATAAACTGTAAAATATAATTTAGCTGTTGTGTAATCACAGCTGCTTTTAAAATGCACGTAAAACGTTGCGAGAACAAACAATGTAAATAAGAAAATTATGATTTCAATTCAGATTCTTGCATGGCAGAGCTAAAAAAGATTATAAACATTGGAAGCAAAAGCATGACATAAGTACTGTACATTAACAAAGGAAGGAATGGTGCATCTGCTTTGGTATGATAAATAGCCCCACTAAGCGCAGAGGTAAGGTAGAACAAGAAACAAGGTAAAATGACAAAACTCCCAATTTAGGACAGAAAATCACAATAAGTGTGAAAAAATGAAGTAGATATTGCTTACGAACAGGTGGAGATTTGAGGTTGACGAAATTGGTACTCCCAAAACGCCGCTTTAGTGGCGATCCTAAAATGTGGAACCATAAACTCTATTAAGTGGTGATCTACAATGTAGAATGAAAAGCTAACATAACTGCATCATACCCCCCCCCCCCCCCAAACATGCTCAAAATAGGTACCAAGAAGAACGGGAAAAATTAAGCAGATACTGAATAATAAACAACAGTAATGACAAACAAACAGCCAAGAGTACAACTCTTCATTCTCAAGAAAAGCAAATTCAACATTTTAATAAAAAAGTGTTTTTACGCCTCAACTGACAAAATTTAGATAATTTAGGAGACGTGATTCCACCCTGCCTGTTAGTGCCAACGACGGCTGTGAGGGACACATCATCCTAGCAGAAAGCAGAGCTACCTAATAAAAGAAAGTTCTCTCCGGCTAAGAAAACTGTTAATATAAGTTTAGAACACAATTTGCTAGACACATATATATATAAGCCTACACAAAACAATTTAACAAGGCAAGAACTGTTTCTATATTCTTGCCATCCTATCTACTATATCATGTATATGTATAAGGCAGAATGTGATCAGCAAAGAAAGGCCTTTGCAAACATAATTTACAAACTAAAAGTATACATCATATATTTTGACAAGACAAAAATAGTTTCTATAGCCATGTAGCACTGTATCAAAAAAGGGGAGACTGTTATTCTGCTTGACCGTATTGCAAATGTAGGCAAGATGTACTAAAATAAGAAAAGCAGTGAAAGTGTATATATTACATAAACACAAAACAAATAAACGAGCCAACAGTGGTATACATCTTTATACATATGGCACTGGATTTTAAAAAATGGCAAATATGTCTTTCAGTACTAAACATTCATGACATATGAGATGGACAGAGAAACTTGACCAATCTCCATTACAGATACATGTATGGACAAAATACAGTAGAACATGACTATAGTGGCATCCGTACCGGAATCCCCTTTTTTTTTGGTCTTTGTAAACTCAATTGACTGTGCTTGGGTTTAACGAGGCAAGGAAAGGCCTGAACTTGGGGAGAGATCGAACGAGCTTCAGCTGAGGGAAGGAGGTTG